AAGTCACACCAAGGTCCTAGTGTGAGCAGCGGTGCACATAGTGTGAACAAGGCTGGCTATGGCCCCCTGCGTGCCGCCGCGCCCCTGCGTGCCGCCGCGCCCCTGCGTGCCGCCGCGCCCCTGCGTGCCGCCGCGCCCCTGCGTGCCGCCGCGCCCCTGCGTGCCACCTCGGCTGCTGCTGGAGGACCGCGCGCACAGTCAGGCTGCGCCCCGCAGCTGCTGCTAGAGTCCGTGTGAGGAGCAGCACGCCCCACAGAAAGCCAGGTGAAGAGGGCCGATGTGAACCGCGACGCCTGATAACGCAAACACGCCCCCCAAGTCTTTATGTAAAGCACTACAGAACTGTCGTCCTCTTTCATCCCAAGGTATTTACACCTAATCCCTCACTTCGATCCACGCGGAAGCATCCATGCACTCGGGCCCAGCTCTTCCAAAAAGAATTCTGCGTGGCACCTGTTTCTGCCTTAAAATCTGTAGGGTTAAGAGGATACCTGAAAGTCTGCACTGGATAACCTTGCTTACCGTGCTGTAATTACTTTGGCTTCTATTTTAAAGTGTGATCAAAGTCCTGGCCAATCAGTGACATGAACTCTGTTGCTATTTAGTGCTCTAAGTCATGAGAACAGAGATCGGCGTAGAGCCGTGTCTGCACCAACCTGGCTCTGTAGACTCCCTCGGCATCGAGGATCTTTTAAATCCAAGTGTGAGGGGGAACACTTGGGGGAGATGGTTTTAACAAAACCCCAATCACTAAATGCAGAGGCAAGTCACTTTATTCTAAGAACTTGTTTTTTTCTTTTTTGTTAAAAAGCAACAACTTAAATTTCAAAGAAGAAAAATAAGTGAGCGGAAGAGTTATGTAGTTTTGCTAATTTAGTCCTTAATTGAAACATACTGTTTTTCTCAAAAGTACTTACAGCAAAATCTGTTTATTTTTATCTTAATATAAGCTACCTTTCATTCCCTATTAATTTTGTATTCAGGAATTTATATTTGGAAATCTCTATTTTTTATGCTTTCTTGACGATTTTTGAATGACCAATTTTTATGTCCAGAATGACCCAAATGATACATTTTTAGGAACAGGGAATTTTAAAAAGAACATAGGCTAACTGCAGTGTATGCTGATCAACTTTTACTTGGCAAACATTATTACAAACTTCAGTTGTATAAGCAATTAACAAGCCTGAAACAGCACACTGAGTTTCAGTAAACCTTTCCCCTGAAAGGACCGCTGGAAGTATACTGTTTTAAATGGTGCAACTTGTAAAAGCGATTCTTCCTTTGTGGCAGCACTGGAGAGCAACCCACACTAGGGCTTTACACACGCTAGGCAAGGGCTCTGCCACCAGCGCTACACACTCCAGTGCTAGGATTTGAATGCTGAGAATGCAATCATTTTCCAAAGGCCAGGAACACCGTCATCGTAGCCATCGTTCTATTACAAGTAGTGTGCAGGCTAGAAAGCACTGCACAGAAGTACAGCTAGTTGAAAACTGGAAAAGTAACAATATCCTGTTTTCCTGTTGTAAACCATAGTAAATGTGTACCTGGAGGCAGGCACACAAAACCTACATTTGGATCTATACGGTTAGTATCTGGATTCACACATCTTTGGCACTTACATGAAGATACTGGCTCGTCTACACCAACGCGTTTGCGTGTTTGTTTGGTGGTGGCACGGTTTCGCTGTGTCGCTTAGGCTGGCCTTGAACCTCCCAGCAATCCACCTTCCTGAGTCTCCCAAGGGCTCAGGATTTGGGCATGTGCCACCATGGCAAGCTGGCTAAGAATACTTTTTTATACACTTTAGGAAATGTCTTCCCCAATTTAAAAATGATCTTCATTCTAAAAATTCACTGAGATAAACTGGAAACTATCAACTTAATCAGCTATGATCCCCAGGTACAATTAATAGCAGTCATGGAGACAGCTGTGACGTCAGAATCTCTTTAACAGCAAAGGTGCACTTGGAGCGACGCATGGTGGCCCACACCTGCAGTCCCAGCACTCCAGAGGCTGAGGAAGTGGATCTGTGCAAGTTCGAGGCCAGCCTGTGCTACTTAGGAGTTTAGGGCCAGCCTGAATTGCTGGCCCTATCAAGACCTGGTCTCAAAAAACAAACCAAAGCAAAGCAAAACAAAAGCAAAACATGCTTGAGACCTGGTATTTTTAGTTTTGAACTTTAGATTTTTAAAACAACTTGTACACAGCTGATTTCTATGGAATCCATCTTTGACTTTATGCATTAGTGCTAATCACTACATTCTATTATCTTTTGGCACAGAATGAAGCTAGTCCCTGACATTTACCGCCCAACACAGCAGGGCACATGTCCACAAGCGCAGGCACGGCTAGGGCAGGGACTCGGGAGTGGCGCTGGGGCTTCTCAGAGCAGCCCAGTCAGTCCAGGCTGGGCCTTGAGGGCTGGACAGCCGAGGGCTGAGTGCAGTTTCATTTCTAGGGGCTCAGGCCAGAATCTGCACGCTGGGAGAGCATTCATTCCCCTCAGCTGTGGCCCAGGAAATGACTCTGTTCCTTTGATCCCACCCATGAAGCCAGAAGGAAGGTTCTGGAGCTACTTAACATCACAAGGCATTTTCCCTCCAGGGAATCCAGTAATCTTTCTCCTTTATACCAGTTTCGGGCAGAGTATTACAGTGGATCCTCCAGGAAACCCTTGAAGAAAGGCATGTCCCTGAGGCTAAGGCAGCCAGACACCCAGTGCGCCTGGCTCCTGGCTCCAGCAGCAGGATTTCTGGAATGAGCATGCTATCTTATCTGGCTCACTTCTCCCTTAGTGCTAATGCTGTTTGAGGCATGGCAGAAGCTATCTGTGTTTAGAAAGAAGTTGAAAGTGAAACAGAACAACCAAATTGCTAAATGACAGAAACGCCCTTTTCAGCTTAGCAAACTAGTTGCCTCCAGGCACCTGCACCAGCCTGCTCTGCTCTTCCCAGGGTGCATCACTGACAGGAGGCCGATACCTTCACTTGCACAAGGCTTACAGGAAGCACTCATTTGGGTACAAAAATGATTCTTAGGGCAGGGAGATAGCTCAGCAGCACAGCACCTGCCTGGCCAGCTTGAGGTTGGGAGTTCGATTCCTGATT